GATGTTTAATGTACGTAAGTCACTATAATTGGTTGAAAATGTCAATGCTGTTTTCGCCGTTGCCACGACATTGCCAATAGCTGGTGAGCTAAAAAGAAAGTGGTTCACGCTGCAAAACATGCTTTCTAATATATGCTTTGTTATATTAAATTGAACAGGCTTAGGCATGATCAGAAATCAACAATGGGGGTTTCTCAATGGAAGATTGATGTGAAAATGAGGACACGTTGATTCGTTGGGATGGAATAAGATATGACGTGGGGCAGCTTTGAGTCACTTTGTGGCTGAATGGGAAAACGTCAAAGGCATGGGCTAACTCACAAAATACAGAATGGGTAATTGCACAACATTATTCCTCGCGAGTTAGGTGACAGTAGAGGTGCAGGCCTGCTATTACTGGCTGTTATAGAGTGTTCTAGAGAAGCCTTCTGGCCAGACATCTTGAAGGAGGTGGGATGACCCACACTTTGCCCTACCACATGCGACCTACTGCTCAACTCGCTGTGGTGTATCCATGTGTACTGCTGTGTAGATAGAGGTCGAGTGACGGATGCAATTCAGGACAATGGCACGGGAATATTTGTGCAAGGAAAAAGAATAAACAAGCTGCGATTCGCGGACGACATAGATCCGATGGAAGACAGCTGCACAGTACCGCAGGAAAGTATTCACGCACTGAATATGTCAAGAGAGGATGCAGGACTGAGGATTAATGTGGCAAGGACAAAGACGTTGGTGTTTTGAAGGGAGGACATTGAGAGAGAAGTAATACTATAAATCAGCAAGATTGTGAATGAAAAGGAATTTGTGTACTTGGGAAGTCGACTGGCATGGGACAACAACTGCACCAAAGACATAAGAGTGAGGATCTCAAAGGCAAAATGAGTAATGGCAGGATTCAATAATATCTGGAGAAGCAAGCAAATCAGCTACACGAACATGCGTGTCCAGTACAGCATTGTATACTTGCGAGACTTGGACACTGAAAAAGACTGACAGAGATAAGATATTTCCATTCGGGATAGAGAGTGACCAATGTAGAAGAGTGACCAATGTAAGAAAAAGTTTCACAAGGATAGAAGACCTGATGCAGGTAGTGATGAGAAGGAAACTGGCACTATTTGAACACATGTAGAATGAACAACAACAGGAAAATAAAAATTGTGTTGTTGGGGAAAATGTGAAGGAACCGAAAAGAGAGGAACGCCTAACAGAGAATGGTTTGACGACAGTATCATGAGAGTTTGGTGCCAGAGAGATGTGGCACTACTTGAGCATATTGGCACAAGACAGAGGAAAGTGGAAACATGACGAAATGTTTAGTGGACACGTTCGGGCTATCTGCCTACGGATCGTGATGATGATGAGACAGAGGTGGGGGAAAGCAATTTAAGAATTTTGCCTAATTGCTTCCACTGCTGTACCAGGATATCCATGTGACTCTACGACTGCTGGTTTGCAATTCCAGTGTGCTAACTATTATACCATAGAAGCATCCCTTCTATTGAATTACTGCGAACAATATCAACAACATAAATAAGAAAATTGCAATACAGGCCATACATTGTGCCAGCTGTGATAATGGTCAGGGCAGTAGTAGGTGGTACGGTGGTGTGTGTGGAACCTGCTGATTGGCCAATTATATCCTGCGCTATTGAGTTATACTGCTGCTTATGATCAGGTGCTTTAGTTCCGAGAGAGTTTTATGAGGCTAATCCATCATACGTGCGTACCGACAAAATTCTCACCCATCACTTCATACAGCTCAATGGCAATGCAGCCGTCAATCATGCGCTCGAGGTCAATAATGGAGAAGACAAAGGGCCAATCAATTTGGCGCTCACAAAAGTAGCATGAGAATGACCACGGTCTTACTAATTAATCAGAGAAATAATACAAAATATACTAATTCATTGTTTTCAACACCAGATGAGAGAGCATATGAAGATGAAACAACTCAGTTTGCATAAATATCTAGATTGTTGTAACGATTGCTTTACCAATAGCATTCCAATGTAAACTGATTATAAGGAATCTATTTACATAGACAGTCTTAAATTTTTATTTAAAGCTTTCGTGACTGCAGGGATTCATATTCTTGGCTCTTTCGGTGACTTTACCGAAAGAACCAAGAATATAGATAGTCTTAAATTTTGATTTAAAGCTTTCGTGACTGCAGTAATTCATATTCTTAGTTTTTTTCGGTAAAGTCACGTTGAAGAGAAACAACAAAATAACAAAATATATATATAAAACAATAAAAAATTCTCACGACGTTTCGACCATAACTCAAACGGTCATCATCAGGTGTGTCGGTTTGCATAAATTTATTTTGAAAACGGCATATTTATTTATTTATTTATATAAAAATAACGTTTGCGTCACGCGCAACGATTGGCTGTTTGCCAGGACTAGTCCATCTATTTTTTGAAAAGAGGAGGGGGGAGACGAAATTTGTTTTTATGTATGCTGTCTGAAAGCCACTGTAAGCGTGAACAATCAATCAAGAACTGAAATGATTTATCAAATCTTTCCAATGATTGCTAAGATAGAATCCATCTTCTCGGTTGAAATTGTCTCTGTGTTTGTATATGTGGATAGCCTCATGAACGAATCTCTCATGGAAGCCAGATGGCTTACAAAGAACCTCCGTCTTGGAAAAGTCAATGGCATGTGAGCCTACTGAATTAGAACAATGATCTGCTACGGCCGAGGTGTTGGTCCTACCGTGTTTAAGGTCTGCTTTATGTTCACGAATGCGGTCCGAGATATGGCGTTTGGTTTCTCCAATGTAACTACTACCACATACCAGTTAATGATATAATTGCCCAAGTAGACGTTGCTCTCAGGGGCCTGGGTCACATCGCTGCAGACGTAGCAAGATCTGAAATCGCTGCAACCCTCAAAAAACGCTAAGATGCCAGCTAGCAACCTCAGCAAAGATGAGCGTTTTGAATTATATAAATTAAAAAAGAGGAATGATATTGTAGTTCTCTCAGCTGACAAAGGCAATGCTACTGTTATCATGGATAAAATAGAATACAACAATAAAATTAAAGAATTACTCGACGATGGTAGTTATACAAAAATAAAAAGAGATCCCACCAACAGCCTCGTCACACTAACCAACAAAATAATTTCTGATTCAACCGCATTAATTGATCAATCTAAACAGTTTTCGTTGAAACCTTCTGCTGCCAGGCCACCAAGATTATACGGCTTACCAAAAATACATAAAGTTGATACACCTCTTCGTCCCATAGTCTCTACTATCAGCTCCCCCACCTACAAACTAGCTCGTTTTTTGTCTGAAATCCTGCGTCCTTTCACTGGAAAGACCACCTCTGCGGTACAAAATTCTACTCACCTGGTATCAACAATCAAGGGTATTTCCCTGTCCCCAGACGACTTGCTTGTCAGTTTTGATGTAGTTTCCTTATTCACCAAGGTTCCTGTACCTGACACCATTGCAATCATTGAAGACTTGGTTCATCAAGGACTAAACACTGAGGTACCCCCCCTGGTGAGACACTGTTTAACCAATACATACTTCACTTGGAATGGAACTTTCTACAAACAAACTGAGGGCACCCCAATGGGCTCCCCCCTTTCTCCAGTTATAGCTAACATTTTCATGGAGAAATTTGAGACTGACACCATCCAGACTGCCACTCTGCGCCCAACCTTATGGAAGAGGTACGTGGATGACACTTTTGTCATCTGGCCACATGGCCGGCCTGCTCTAGACCAATTCTTCGACCACATCAATTCCATACACCCAGCCATCAGATTTACCATGGAAGTCGAAATAGATGGCAAGATACCTTTTTTGGATGTCCTAATTAAAAAGAGACCTGATGGTTCAATGAGCCACTCTGTCTACAGGAAAGCTACCCATACGGATGCTTATCTGAAACCGGATTCCCACCACCATCCATCACGGAAGAATTCTCTCATCAAGACTCTGTATCATAGAGCCCAATGCATATCCGACCAGGAACACATAAGCAGTGAACTCAAGCACGTACACCAAGCTCTTAGGGCTAATGGTTACTCCGACTATACAATCCGCAAAGCTATCACTCAAACCATGAAGAAGAACCCTCTTGAGGAGCCTTTCAAAACCATCACTTTACCCTACATTGCTGGGATCACAAAAAAAGATCTCCAAAATCTTGAATAAACACAAGATCCAGGTCCGTTTCAACACATTACATAAAATCCGTGATCTGGTTCCGTCTGTAAAAGATGTGATTCCGGACATACAATACCCTGGTGTCTACAAACTAAGTTGCCTCTGTGGTAGTAGTTACATTGGAGAAACCAAACGCCATATCTCGGACCGCATTCGTGAACATAAAGCAGACCTTAAACACGGTAGGACCAACACCTCGGCCGTAGCAGATCATTGTTCTAATTCAGTAGGCTCACATGCTATTGACTTTTCCAAGACGGAGGTTCTTTGTAAGCCATCTGGCTTCCATGAGAGATTCGTTCATGAGGCTATCCACATATACAAACACAGAGACAATTTCAACCGAGAAGATGGATTCTATCTTAGCAATCATTGGAAAGATTTGATAAATCATTTCAGTTCTTGATTGATTGTTCACGCTTACAGTGGCTTTCAGACAGCATACATAAAAACAAATTTCGTCTCCCCCCTCCTCTTTTCAAAAAATAGATGGACTAGTCCTGGCAAACAGCCAATCGTTGCGCGTGACGCAAACGTTATTTTTATATAAATAAATAAATAAATATGCCGTTTTCAAAATACATTTATGCAAACCGACACACCTGATGATGACCGTTTGAGTTATGGTCGAAACGTCGTGAGAATTTTTTATTGTTTTATATATATATTTTGTTATTTTGTTGTTTCTCTTCAACGTGACTTTACCGAAAAAACTAAGAATATAGATAGTCTTGTTAAATTAAATTAATAACCGGTTTTTAGAACTGGGTGAATGCCAATTAAGACTAATATCCTGTTTTGCTAGGGAGATCAAGATCAAGATGTCATCTTGGCCAAAGCCATGGATGGCCACCAGCGAGGAAGACTTTGGGTAAATACTGACATGGTAGCGTGAGTCGTGCAGAATCAAAGAGGACTACATTAGTGCAAACTCATATCCAATCGGGTGTGGTAATGATGTGGTTCATCTACTGCTCTATGAATCGTGCGAGTTAAGATGCATGTATGTTGAATTTATTACGCACCGTACGTAGCCCAACCGTTTGAACACATGTGTAGGATGCCCCCCGGTAAACTCCCCCTGGAACTCTACCGGGCACGCCCCACTGGTCGAAGGCCCCAAGGCCGGCCCAGGACACGCTCGTGGGACTATGTCGCTCGGCTGGCCTGTGAACGCCTGGAAAGGGAGGTCTGGCCCGCCCTACTCAACATGCTGCCCCCGCGACCCTCACCTGGACAAGCAGATTGAGAAACGAACGAACGGAGCCAACTGTGCAGATCAGTTCCTATCCAAGGTTAGTTTTAGTGGTGATATCTGAACTCGTCCTGGTTTCTGCACTTCAGCAAGCGTGCACTGACCAGAGTGGTGAAGTATGGTCACACAACCCCCTTGAATGACGCGGCATGGGGAATGCCTTTATTAAGCTGTGGATTGACAAATAGCTGTACAGTATAATTATTGTTACTATTATTATTCATAGCTCATAGACTTGTATACTGCTGAGACACAGGCAATATGTCAAGTGAATGAGGGAATACCATATCTGGATTATGTTTCACAGAATCAGGCAGTAACAACATTGTGAAGTCAACACAGTTCAAACAGAACTAAATACATATTTGTTTTATGTCCTACAAATAGTCAGATAAATGACCTACCACTGCTGCACGAAAAAAAAAGACAATAAAGAGTTGATGGATATAAACAGCATGTCTGTAATTTTAGTACTTGCAAGCATTCCACAAGGAAGCTTGAGCGCGGCAGTGAAGCCATGTTGTGTTATGGCTAACATATTTAATGTGAATTGAATGAAAAACTATAAATCATTTAATAAATTAAATTGGACGAGTGCCATTTGGAAATTCTGGCATGACACATTAGACTCCTGGGTTGGATTTCAGGTCACTATGAAGTTTCATTTGCAGCAAATCTATAAAGAGAAATCAATATTTTTGTTTTCAAGAGCATGCTGTAGCAGATAACTATTAAAACGTTGTGAAATTAATTGTGGTGGCAAATACGTTAAAACCACATATTAAAACAAATCGTCAAATCAATATATATCTTAATAAATAACTACATTGTTATCTTGACGAAGGGTTGTCAGGCCTTGATTTTCATCCTCAATGTGATTCAACATTCCTGGTTCAACTGGTGTTTTTTTAATGGCTTCTCAGTGCAAACTGATGGTGGCTCGCAATCAGAAGGTTGCACACTTAAATATTGGTTGGGTTTGGCTCAGGCCACAATCTCTCCAGGGTTGACATATGTATCCCTTTGTGGGGGAGTCAACAGTGGGCGTCCTATGGATAGCCTGTCTCCGGGCAAGAGAATGTCGAATTTCCACCACTGTCTCAGGGCTGTAAATGGGTAATGAGCACCATCTCATTGTTGATTTGAGCAGGAAACCACTTTTATGTATTTCCTTCTCAATGGGAATGGAATGTTGGAACAGTAGTATCCCAAACTTTTAATTGAGTCACAGGCAATAAGCAAAATGGAATCAGCGTATACTCTTTTTGTCACTACAGCAGTAACAAATTATGCTTGTGAGTGGAGAGCATAAATGAGTGTAGAATTTGAGCGTAGAACGTATGTTGAACTTATTTCGCACCGTAGGTAGCCAAGAGTGCTAATCGGAGGTGTGAACATACATTAGCTACACATAAAACCTGGTTTATGCAGCACCATTAGTGATTCTTACTCGGATGTCCGAAAATCACCTGAAGACTATCACTGTGAAAAGATAAACACCACGACCATGCTATGTTTTATTGCCATGCATTAGAGTAAGTCTATGCAGAACTTGGCACACTTTGTTTCAGCGCATTCATATGGGTAATTAAGGTCTTCTGACCAATAATATTGTGGTGACACATTCATCACATATGCAAGCAATTTTTATACTGCAGAGCCTAGGTTATGAGGCTGAAGAATGGCCTGAGGGTTGCAATAATATGCGATTTTTGTGTCATGCCTGTATCCACAATCATACTCTTGCAGCCTAATTGCACTGCCATGATGCAATTACAGGCTCAGCCGTGAATCAAGTGCTGGGAATTCAAAGTCAATTCACACCCTTGGTCCGAATTTGCCATAAATTCCCTACAGTTCCAGCGGAAGGATAGATCCAATGATAATGATGCTGTGGTTACTTTAAAAATGCTAAATTTCAAGAGGTGACTAGGTGGCTCTGGGGGATAATGTCCTTGTCAAGGTACTGGGTCAAAACCGCTGACATCATGTGTTCAAACCCCAGGTACCACTTGGGGTGATAATTGGATTTATATGCAGTGCGTTTGACAACCTCAGCCCGATTCACCAATTACATATCCACACAATATGACGTGAGACATCTTACACTTCGGATTTTGATTGTATTTTCCCATGTGTAGCTATGACCACTAATCAAACAAAACGACCTACTGCATATGATGAGACGCCATATATCGAAACTGGTCCGGAATGTGCTTGTATCGAATCAATGGTGCTGAAGTTATGCATTTAAAGAAGACCAAGGGGACGACGGGTTGTGTAAGAAATGCTTTAAATTGTGAAGTAGGCATATTTCTGATGATCTATTGTGTTGTTTATATTCTTCAAATACGACGCTCGTGATTCCTTAGAGTGGTGTGCATTGAGCAGATTTCTACTCTGCAGGTATTTGTTTTTGTTGATAGAAAATTTATGTGGTGCCTCATTGTTGCGGATCATTCATGAGCATTTTTAATTCGCATGCGTCACTGCTCAGTATGGAGTCTTGATGATTGAAGAGCAACATCACTCTTTAACAGATGCCGGTTGGAAAATAAGACTGAACATATTTAAGTATCAACTGAATTGGTTATACTATGTTTAACAAAAATGTGTCAATATGTTCTTGAGTTTTTTGTTTTTTTTTGTTTTTATACTTAAGTGTCAAACATGGCTTTCCATTCCATCCACTGAAGAAAAATTTGCATGGATTTTTGTTATGGTTTTGATTGAATTAATTTCTGTCAGAAATGTAAAAACATGCTGTGAATAAACTTGATGTGAAGCTGTGAATGTTTAGGTAGTACTGGTGATTTTAATTAATTTAGCGGGCAGTAACCGGCTTTGGCCGGGTCAAAAAGTAATTTCAAACCTCCTCTTAAAAATCTAACAGCAGTGCATACTGACTGTGGTGGTACATGCTATGATTACAGCAGTGCATAGCGACTGTGGTGGAACCTGATATCACTACAGTAGTACATGTTGACTATATAGCAGTATTTATCGACTCTATAGCACAAAGTACTCACCTGAAAGAGTGGCACGGTGAGGCCTAGTCCCGTGCAGAGCCTCCGGCCTCGCCTAGATTGTCCAGCTGGCTGAGGTGCCACCTTGGCAGGCTGGAGCTGGGCTGCTACCCCTGACCCCCCCGCCCCCCCAGCCATGATGTCCCCGGCTGCTCTGCAGTAATATCTACGGCCTACAGTGGTAGCATCTACAGACTGTATAGTAGTAATAACTGCACGCATCGGGGTGGGGGGGGGACATCACACAGTGAAGAATTAATGTCAGCGCATACTGTATTTTTAATACATTTTAAACGCGAAAGAAATTGTCCCCCTCACTCCCACCGAAGGCGTGCGACTTGGCATGGGCCGTCCCCCCCACCAAAGGCGCGTGAGTTGGTATGGTCATGCACGCGTCATAAATAAATAAGTGAAAGTAAAGCGCACAAAAATTACACTAAATCGCTAATTAAACTCATTTATAGTTGACGGATGTGAAAAAGGAATAGCGCTTGCTCACCGCGGGGCTTACGGCGTGGCACCTGGCTATTTTTTTTTACGTAAACCCTACTGTTAGAGAGACAAATCGTTCGCAAGCGCGCGAATACACAAACAAAGCCACAAACCGACACACAGACAATTTTTTTACTTTTGAATATATATAGACTTGCTTTACTACCCGGCTTCGCTCGAGACTTGGATTCTTACTCTTTGGTTCTATTCGGTAAAGTCACGTAGGTAAAAAATAAAACAACAAAAATCACGACGTTTCGGCCACAACACAAGTGTTCTTCGTCAGGTGAAGGGACCAGACTGTCCAGAGGATAGCGTTGGAGTGAAGACAGCCAAGCCCAGGTCGCCTCCTTTAAGCTATGAGAGGGTAAACAGAAAATGCCTTGACAAAGGAATTAGCATAAAATGTACTACTGTTGATGTACTACTGTGAAAGTTTGGGATGCCACTACTTGAATAAATATACTGTACCATTAAAAAATAGTTTAATGTTTGGTTCGATTTAGAACATCTTTCCAATGATTGCTTAATTTGAAACCATCCTCTCGGTTGAAATTGTGTCTGTGTTTGTAAATCTGAATTGCCTCGTGGACGAATCTCTGATAAAAACCCGTGAGTTTGCAGATAACCTTGGTATCGGTTTGTGGCTTTGTTTGTGTATTCGCGCGCTTGCGAACGATTTGTCTCTCTAACAGTAGGGTTTACGTTAAAAAAAATAGCCAGGTGCCACGCCGTAAGCCCCGCGGTGAGCAAGTGCTATTCCTTTTTCACATCCGTCAACTTTAAATTAGTTTAATTAGCGATTTAGTGTCGAGACAGCTATGCAGCAGGGATACACGACCTAGGCGGAGGGTTGGAGGGGGGGGGGTGTGTGACGTCAACAGGCACACTGCTTAACGCTGCTGCATGAGTGTGACATCACAGATGTGACGTCTGTGATGCCACCGCGGCGGAGCAGCTCCGTCGGGGGCCGTATTCACCACCGTGACACCGCCACCGGGGAGTGACGACGCCGATGCGGCACGCCCTTCGCCCCCCCCCCCCCCCGCCCCCACATGTATACACATACACACCCCACGTAGGGCCGGGAGGGAAGGTCACCTGGCCGACGGGTTTTTATCCAGAAGCCCCTAATGGGATCAAGCTTCATGGTTTCCCGTGGCCGGGAAATTGGGCGATCTACCCCAGAGGCTGACACGCACTGCGGCAGCGTGACCTGACATTAAAGTTGCGTGGTCACGGCGGAGGCCGTTGCGCCACCGCGAGCGAAACCGCACACACACGGCACGGGGCGTGGGAACCGCGAGATGCCTGTGGTTATAGATGGGATTAGGAACTGAATTTCTGTTGTTATAGATGGAATTAGAAACTGAATGCCTGTTGTTATAGATGGAATTAGGAATTGAATGCCCTTGATTATAGGTGAGCTCCCGAGTCCAAATAACAATAGATTAGGAGCATTCAGGCCTCTGCATAGACAGGGCGGCGCAGGGCGGAAGCATTTGAATGTCTTTTGTTCTAGAAAAGGTCACGGATCAGCATGTGAAAAAGGACGAAAATAACTCAGCCTCTGAATGGACAGGGCGGTACGGAGCGTGGGAACCACGGTACGCCTTTGTCATAAGTAATATTACAGATCTGAATATGAAGGAGTACGGGTGGGCAGGCGCCAGAGCAACGGAATGTCTTTAGGGTGTATAAAATATGGAGGCTTAGCGTAGCAAGGGACAGTCTTCTTCTTCAAAATCATCGCGGTCCACGGAGCAGGAGGGTCAGCCGTTCGAGACGTCTGTGCGACGAGCCCAGTGCAGCTAGACTCGACCCTCTACGGAGACGACTCACAGTATCGCCTTTCTACAGCAATCGTAAGTAGAGGAGAGGTAAGTTTGGGCTATTGAATCGAGGGTAGAAAGCGGAGCTATAGGCAGGATAAGCTGAATCTGGGATCCGCGAGGGATAGGCTAGGAGGGCCTGCTGACTCGCACAGACACACGTAGTTAGCGGGATACTCGCGGGGAATAAAACCACTAATAGAGGATAAAACCGTGTCGTGGTCGCTGTGAGTACGAGGAGGGAGACAGAGTGTTTGGTGTTCGCGTACCGGTACGAGTGTGTACAGTACTGTTTTGCGCTCGTGCGCATACGCGGCTGTTTGCGGCGGATGCGAGGGTAAAGAGTGCTTGGTGGTCGCGCGCACGCACGGTTGTTTACATCGAGGCGGAGCGCTTAGCGTGCGCATGCCTACGCGGCTGTTTACGGGTGTGCTGTTCAGCGTGCACGTGCCTAAGCGACTGTTTTCGGTGGTGTTTAGTGCTCGGGTGCCTGTGCGACGGTGTTGTGGTCGCGTGCCTGCGCGATCACTAATCGCGAAGTAGCGAGTTAAAGCGCCGAGTGCGCGCGTATTCACACGACTGTTTGAACGGGCTCTTTAACTCAGAGCCGAGCGACCCTCCCCAATCAGCGGCGCGCGTACGGCAAACGTCCCGCCCACCCATCCCTCGGCCCCAACCCCCTCGCAATGCGATTGGTGTACGGGGCTGGGCAGAGAGTAGAGGCGTGTTTGTTATTACCGGAGCACGTGGAGCGTGGGTGGGAGGGAGACACGCGCCGTGCCTGTTTGTTTACGGGCGGGACGGAGTTTTTACTGGCAACTTGCGCTCACCGCGGCTCGCCGTCTCCCAACCACGCAGCGCGCCACGAGCGTAAAGCGCCGCGCCCTACCCATCGGTCGAAACATGCTGACGCGGTCAGCAGCACAGGAGGGCGAGGCAGGGGAGGTCGCTAGCCCGAACCCCACAGAGCAGCCGGGGGGGTGGCGGTATGAATGGAACGGGGGAGTCGGTGGGCAACGGCCCCGACAATTCAGTGATGGCCGGGGACGTTCGCCCCCACACGTCACCGGTCACTTGCCGTGCAAAATATAGCCATTAATGCGCCTCCCCCCCAAAAATACAAAAGTCTATTTTTATACTTTTTGCATTGTGTACAGTCTGGAAGCTACCTACATGCCAAATTTCAAGTTTGTTGCATGTTTGGAAGTATGCTAAACATTTCGAACAGACACACATATTCACAAATATGCCTTTTTTAATATATATAGATATTGCTACCAATGGAAATCTTTAACAATATATACAATTCCTTCGGGCTATATTTATTATCTTGCGTTTATTTCAATTTGACAAATATGGATAGAATAAAATTCCTAGTCATTATTAATGAAAGTCACAGTGAATTCAAATGAAGAAAAACTTGCGACAGCAGGTAGTAATGAAATGTAATTGCATCTCATTACCTGCAAGCGGTTATGCTAGTTTAACAGTTCATAAACTATTAGAGTTGTAGTTATATATTAGGTACCTTTATTATGAATACACATCGAGTGCCATACATATAATTACTCACAGCAGTATGCGCATGTGCATTGCTCACATTCACATTTCAGCATTTATAACGGCTCAGCTTCCTTGTGCAAGTACGATATTAAAAACATACGAAAAAGAGCAATGATGGTGTGTACCCAAAAAACGCTTGAACAGGGTATAAGCACTTGTTTTTTCGTGGCATTGCTTGACCATGATTGGAAAAAAACTAATTTTACGCGGGAAGAAACTGGTCTGCATGAATAAATCCAGGTAACAATCACTTACACTCTGCAGACAAGTCAACAACCCATTTCCTGTACTGTCTAATACTACTTCAGTAAGTAAACATTGTCTGGTGATACTGCGTTGGCAGTTATGCACAAACACAAATAATAATAAACGCAATACTTTCGTCAATAACAGTGTATTCAATAAAAAATATGCACTATAAGAGGCAACGATTCGGATGATTTCCCTTCTTCAATGAAAATAAAGAGAGGCCAGAAACATAGAGACATTCATTATTGGAGACTGCATTGTACACAATGGGGCCTAGTAAGAAATACATTTTCAAAACTTGTTTCCTGATTAACAATTTTAAATTGGCATATGGAGAGTTACCTGTTAGTATATATTGAGTAACAGAAAATAATCTTGTGTATATGAGCTCAGAACAGCCTCCATCAAAGCACCCTCCAATTTGCTGCATTAAGATCTGTGCACCACTACATCCCCATAAAATAGCAAGTTCATCGTGAATATAAAATAATTAAACTATTCGCAAGAAAAATAAAAAGACGATCACCCATTTGTGAGCAATTCCATGAAATAACTTGGCCACAGCATTAATGTGACATTTAAAATGTGATAAAAATTGACAAGGTATGAATTTGCAGTTGCAGCAAAAGTATAGTGCCACTATTCGCCCTTACAGCCATATCAGAGTGCATGTAAAATGGCATTTCTAAACAAAATTAATCATGACAATTTAATTAAGAAGCAACAACTTTTTTAAAAGTGCTATTTATCCAAACATTTAGAACATTAACT